GCTGTACTACAGTCACTATTCTCAACATATTGTCGAGAGATGAGCTGTTTACATAAGTAGCCTGAGTTGACTGACCTGTTTTTTGTTCCTGTACAAGGACCGGGACGCTCGGTTTCTTGGCTTCTGGTGGAACTGCCATTGTACTTGGCGAGTCTGAGGTCGCTGCTCCTGCGATATGCTGCCTCGGTGCGCCGCCGCGAAGGAGACTCCAGGGGTAACGATATTCGAGGAGAGCACTCTTCCCGTTGTGGTTTTGGGTGCCCTCTGCGAGTTCTTCCTTCGCGTGTCTGCAGCCCCGATAGTTGGCCGGATGGGGCTTCTCTCCCTCCTTCAATTGCCAATTGCAGCAAGCTGGAGTGGAGGCAGCGTTCTCCTTCTCAGGACACTCTTTGTGCAGGTGGCCACCCCCGCACCACATACAACGGGGAGGTTGTTTGCAATTGGCTCAGACGTGGCCAAACTGTTAGCAGTTGTGACACTGCGTAAGGCCACTCTGTGCCCTATATGCCTCAACCCGGAAGGAAATGTGGCAAATGCTTTTTATTTTGAAAATTTCTTGCGATTTTGCCGTCCGGGGTAGGGTAATAAGGAAGAATGGAAGGTTCCTTGATATCCTTTCTGAAGGCGACCGGCGGGTGGTTGTCATGTTTGACGCTAACCACGTCAAATCCCAGGGCCACCAGTTCATCAGACATATCCTCCGCAGGCGTATTGTGAGGGAGGTGACGGATTACGGCCTTTATGGGTTTTAGGGACTTCGGAAAGAAGGTAAAGTAGGATAATTCATTGTTTGATAGACGGGACTTGACGTCTTCGAAATCCGCCATGCTTTTGGTGAGGACTCTGGTCCCGTTTCTGGTACTGCGGAACTTAAAGTCGCCTTTGACCACATTTTTCAGTTGCTTTTGCAACTGAATTAGGTTGACTGTGGACGTTAGAATTATTGGGGGGGGGGGCTACCTGCTTTACCTGAGGTTTCCTCCTCCAGCGTAGTGGTTCCGGCACCAGCTGTGTCCCGTGTCCATTGATGTCACCCTGAGAGGTGCAAAGTAGTTTCGGGTGCGAACCTCATTCGCCGGGGTCTTTGATATGGCAGCCGCTGCCTTCTTTGAAGTCGGGGCGGACTCGGTTGTATTTTGCCGTTTCCGCCTTCGGACTTCTTTCAGGTCTTCTTCTTGGGATGGCTTTGTAGGAAGAGTTTTCGTTGTCTCAGATGTTTTGGCCTTCAAATCGTTCAGAGCAACTGTATAGGTCCCACACAGAGCACTGAACAATATCTTACCCGTCAGAGCCTTGCAATAGCTGTCTCTGTTTTCGTCTGCGGCATCGACTATTGCCGCCCACTCGTCACTTTTCCCAATTGTAGCGGGTGTGAAGCTGGCCACATCCTCAATATCACAAATGATTTTAAACAGCTTCCTGTAGTGTTGTCTGCCTCAGGATACTGTTTAACCAATTCCTTGTATTCTGCCTGCAGTGAGGCTCTTCTGCCCAGAATGAATGGTACGCAGGCACCGAGGCGTCCGCCATATCTGGCACGTCACGGCACGAACCCAAGCCTCACGCAAAAACTAAGAATTTTACTACGAAGAACTATGGACTTTCAGAAGCTGATCAGAAAGAGCACGCAGCAACTACCGGCAATAACTCCTTGATCAATCCTCTATGATGAGAAAGATTTTTCCAGACTTCTTGCAACGCAAACCAAGAGCACACCTAACACCAACATGCTACTTCAACTGTACACTGATTGGACACCACCAATCTTGTTCTCTGAATGACTCCCTCCATAGCTTCCAAACCACCCAGCCTCCCTTCCAGTGGGTTGTTTGCCCAGGGGTGTGGGCATAATGCAACCCAATCACAATCATCCAGTGTCGAAATGTGGAGCCATGCCTCAATTTCTCATACCTTTCATGGCGTGGTGCTTAATTATACCCAGGTATACACTTAATAATAAACTCTCAAATGAAAACTAGAAATTTGGGAGCGCCATTCAATAATTTCTTTTATTGGTTTATAGGTAAACCTGAATTTAAGGTAGTGATAGATCTACATGAAACTAAAGTTAACTTGTTTCTGTATTTCATCAATTAAGTACCATACAGGATGACATAATGTGGGAGCAAAGGTATTGCTCCATGGCATTTTTATCCTTGGCTATGTCTGGAGCCTGGAAGTGAATGGTCAGCATCAAGCCCACTCATCTACAGAGATAAAGGTGGGTGTATTAGCTCCTAGGCCACAGCACCACACACTGAAGATGTGCACTCATACAAGATACATTTAAACCTATCATAAATGATTGCTGTGCCATAGCTCAAGCGGTTATTCGCTGACTTCCCACTGTGGCGGCCCGGGTTCAAACCCTGGTCTGGTCAAGTGGAATTTGTGGTGGACAAAGTGGCACTGGGGTAGGTTTTCTCAGAGTACTTCAGTTTCCCATCAATCTTCATTCCACCAAATTCTCCATCATCATAATCACCTGGGGCATGTACAACAGACCAATCAGTGGCCGCCATGCCAAGTGGACCCAACTGAACTCCACCTCCCACTATGCAAAAAAAATTATCATAAATGACAAGGCACAGAAATACTACTGAGTGATCTTTTTCTGTGCATGATTTCCACTGATACACAACCTGAGATGACTTACACTTTTTAAACTTTCCTCATACAGTACACGTTAATTTTCTACATTAAGGAATTTGCAATATGAAACTTCTATGATGAGTCTGAATATCAAAATTTCACTTTCCTATCTTCATTGCCTAATTAGGTGTAATGAAGCTGGGCACTCTTATACAGTTTCAAAGGATTTATAAGGAATCATTATACAGGTATTCTTCAGTTTATGGAAGTTGTTCCATAAAGTGTTCATATGTTGAAAATATATAAACCGAAAATCATATTCCTGCCACTTTGCACGTAAAAGTCTGACTTGTTCACAAGTCCCCAGAAAAATCCCCAAATATTTTTAACATGTTTTAATAGTAAATAAGCATTAAAATAAGGGCAGTATCTGTTGTTTATGATATATAATGTTGTAAAATAAAATCTTATTCTCTCATGTCTATTTTCTCATACCTGATGCAAAGCAATGATGTAGGTTGTGGCCAAACATCCTGCTGTTCTTACTTTCTTTGTTTTATTAACACCTCTTACAACCACTTTCAATCATTTGGGAGCCATGTTGGGCAAAAATAACACACATTTTTGGAAGAAATGATGCACCAAAGGGACAGTTGACTGTGCATGACCATAAAAAGGTGCATCGACTGGGAGGTGGGACATCCAGAAAGGAGGGAAATCAGTTTCTCTGCACATGTTGTGCACTTCTCCACCTTTGCAGAACTTCATACAAGAAAAAGTTGGTTGTTGTAGTGAAAATGAAGTTCGCCAAGTTAAAAATAGGTACAAAATAATATGCTTCATTCCAGAGTGAATTTCATAAATTGAGGTATAATATTGTAATATTTGACAACATAACTACGAATTAATGGAATAAAATCAGCTGACTGTGTATAACACAGAAGTACCTCTCCCCTTCATGGAATAGCATATGACTGCAATAAACTTTAGACATCACTCTGTAATAAAGACAGATCTTAAATGTGTGAAACATAGGAGAACCATTTCCAGGATGCATAAAATTAAATACCTAATCTGCAATACTCCAACCTTGGAATATTACTGGAGTCTATTTTCAACAGAAATGTGAACATAAACTGCCATATCCAAAATCTTGTTGAAGACACAGAACTTCTGTTGCACAAGGTTGCCAGCTTAGGACGTGATGTGCCCTCAAAGATGTTTAATACAAGGTTCTACCAGTCCATCATTGCAAGACTCCTTGATTATTAACTAAAGACAATTAGATGAACACAACATACAGCATCCACAAGAAAGGTGAAAAACAAATGTCACATTTCTGTCAGAATATCTGAAGGTAGGAAACCAATTAGATAAAATGTAAATTGGAAGATTATCTTAGCATGGAATTTATAGAACTGTTCCAGGACAGTCCAATTAATGAATGCCTGGGGTTACATACAGGTCTGTAATATTTTGCTAAGCTGAATGACTGCCTTTTCAAAGATGGCCATGGTCAGGAGGTGATTTAACACTTTTATTTGAAACTGTAAGCATGATTCACAATTCTTGAACGAAAAGAAGTGAATAAACTTCTAATACAATAAAATATTGTCATGTGACTGAGTGGCTATAGACCGGGTTTGGATCAGACATTGGACTTATGGTAAACTTTGATACGGCATGTGACTACCCTTTACAGTTCACTGTTCCTCTGTAGCTGTTCATGGACCGCTGCCTAGTAATGGCAGTTGTATAGCTACTTACTTTGCGGTTGTTGCCTAGCAAGAGCTCTATATGCCACAATATTATATAACGCCATCTGTCATATACCAAGTGTTAGCCTTACACCTATTTTATTATTATTATTGGAGGGGGTGGGTTTCCTCATGCATCCCGACCAGTTGTTGATCTATTGTACGTCCCCCTCTGATATTCTACCGGTCTCCATACCCTACTGGTACTGGTGCGTTCTATCAGCCCCATTGAGCTAACGAGGTCGGCCCTCGGTACCTTGATACTTCCCCCATCTGCCAGAGGCATTGGAAACTACTTGGGAAGGAAATTGTTGCCTAATTTAGCTCAGAGGTCTCCTAGAGACATGAGGTTCTTTTACGTGCCGTAAATCTATGATACGGGACACATGGCTTAAAGTCCCTCCCAGAGGACTTGTTCCCTGAATTTTTCCGCCCTTAAAAATTCCACGACCTCCGCCGGGTTTGAACCCACGTACCTTGAGTCATGAGGTGGGAACATTACCCCCTAGACTACGGAGGCCGCTTAGCCTTACACCTAATCATTCTCTCTTACATGATACTTCCTGCATACCGAATGAAATGGTCCTACGAGCAAGACCAGACTCTGCCATGAGAAGAGTGCAGAAGAGAGAAAGTGCAGGCAATAATGCATCACGAGACAAATAATATTTATTTTTCTTTACATCACTACCTTAACTAGAACTCTGAGTGCTTTATATATGGCCACTTTCCACAGAGAATTTGGTTGAGTCCAGTAACTGAAATAAAGATTGCATTATGTGTACACGTTATAGCAGGACCTTGTTACAGCAAATCACCCTGTTTCCCACAGTGCAGAAGCAACTAGTGCCCAAATATTTCTTGCCATACATCAGCTCAGTTGCAGCCCAAGGGGAGAATGAGAAACAAGCCTGACAAGCCTGTACACAATCTCAGAACACGTTTTTCTTCTTCACACTGAGATATGCAAGTATTAATAGTCAACCAGATTCTAAAACTAAAATACCTAACATTGATGGAATCAAGGACACTCTGCAGCACGCACACAATAACTTCTTTGCAGATAACAGATTTGTATACATATCCCCAAAATACTGATGCCACTTGCTGTGTATGTGACAATATGTATTCAGATTACTCCCTCTACTGAATTATTTACTGCACACAGTACAGCTAAATGCTGCTACTCACTATATACATGGCGGTGTGTCCTCAGATAACTCTGGAGACTGAATGTCTTATTACACATGATAAAGAAAAATGGTTACTCTGTACTGTGCATGCATTGGACTATTGAAGCATTCTGACCAAATGACTTACTACATATTACGAGGAAAGTGGCCGCTTCCCACTGTGAATGCGTTGATGTTTTCTCAAAGTACTCTGTTGACTGAATGACTTATTACAAAGGTTACAGGAAAATGGCCGCTCTCCACTGTGTATGCGTTGATGTTGCTTCAGATGATTTGGTTGACTGAATGATTTCTTACATATATTACAGGAAAGTGGCCGTTCCCCACTATGTATGCGTAGATGTTTTTTCAAAGTACTCTGCTGACTGAACGATTTGTTACATATGTTACAGGGAAATGGCCGCTCTCCACTGTGTACGCGTCGATGTTGCTTCAGTGTATTTCGCTGACTGAATGACTTGTTACATATGTTACAAGAAAATGGCCGCTCCCCACTGTGTATTCGTTGATGTTCAATCAGAGAAGCAGGATAACTGAATGATTTACTGCATATGTTACAGGAAAATGGCCTTTCGTCACTATGCATTCGTTGATGTTGCTTTAGTTGATTTGGTTGACTGAATGACTTGTTACATATATTACAGGAAAACGGACGCTCCCCACTGTGTATGCGTTGATGGTATTTCACCCTACTCTGCCGGCTGAATGACTTATTACACACATTACAGGAAAATTGCCGCTCCCGACTATGAACGTGTTTATGTCTCTTCAGATCACTCTGCTGATTGAATGGCTTATTACATACATCACAAGAATATTGATGGGCCACATTATATGTGGGCTGATGCGCATTTGGCGCAGTCTGAAAACAAAAAGAAAAGTGACAAAATATTTTAAATATTAACAGAAAGAAGAACAAGTTTGAAACTAACATATAAATTAGGTACATAATTCTTACATGACAAGAATTGTATTGTTTAGTACAGAATCAGAAATTCAACATTATGAACTGTAAGAGATGGAAGAATCTTGAGTGACATCCCTCACAGAGAAGGTAAAGGTAAAGCTATCCCTGTAACAGGCTGTGGAGGCCCATAGGGTTGTGAGACATTGAAGCTTCCATGGTTTCTAGACAATCAGCTCACAGATGGCAGTGATGTTGTCAGCTTTATGCACTGGCCACCCTTTAACCCCAGGAAGGTATCAGGTACTCATTTCAGTTAGGGACTGAGTCAACCCCAGGGCCTTAGTGCAGACGGAAGGACTAGGTCAGCTGAAAAATCCAATGACCTCATCAGGAAGATGTATATGTATAATGAATCCTAACAATAATCATGTACCACAAGTACTACAGAACAGACATGAAATCAGAAGCTTCTTTCCCGTATAATGTATATTCCAACTTTGCTCATAACACATGAATCAATAGCTCACCGTTTTCTAGGCTGCAGCTTCTGCCAGTTGCACAGAATCTCTACAAGTGCAACCACAATGTATTAATTTCTTATAATTACAGTCCACTGAATCTGTTGCTGCAATCACCTAGCAATTCATTCTAAACAGATCGGGTGACATTCTGTTCATAGTAGCATAGCATTGATATGAAATTTTGAGTTGAACTGGGCAAAACAGCTGCTGAGACCCATACTGTGTTGTGTGAAACTTAGGGCATTGGGTCTTTGAGTAAAACACTGACCTATGAATGGCACTAATATTTCCAAAGTGCAAAATCTTCATCAGATTATGATGAGCTGTTTGGCCAGCCTTGAAGTTCAAGAAATGATTTTTCAGCTGCCGAAGTAAAATGCACCAGGACGTAAATTACTGACTGACTTAAGAGATAATACCACAGTGGTTGGGAATATCCCATGGCCCTTGTCATGTAACTTTCACAGAGGATTTCATGAAGCATCAGGTCTCAGGGAAATTTGTGTCAACGTTCTTGAGTGAAGATCACAGATTTCAATGCATTTACATTTGCAAATACAAGGCGGGGCGCAGAAATTTCCTTTTTTGAAGGCGAATAAAAGAAGAATTATTGCTGATAGACAAAATTTATGTTTAGCTAATGAAAGAACATACTTTAAAGTTTTAAATCATGTAGTTTTAAACAAAATATCTTGAAGGTGGTGGCCACCATTCTTTATGCACTGATGCAACCGTTTTCTAAAGGTCCCCTCTGCACATTCCAATATGCGCACCAGAATTTAGGCTAGTTCCCACCAAAAAACATTCTTCAGCTGAAGCTGGTTTGTGGGGCGATGTTTAAAAACCTCTGCCTTGAGGTATCCCCATAAAAAAAAATCACAGGGCGTTAGATCAGGTGAGTGCGCTGCCCACGGGATGTCACCTTGAAGCGAGATGAGCCGTCCGGAGAACTTTGCCCTCAAAACTGTCATCGAAGCTCGGGTTGTGGGCTGTGGCACCATCTTGTTGGAACCAGATATTTCCTAGATGCATTTCTTCAAGAGCTAGCCCGAAAAAGTTTTTAATCATGTCCACATACCGCTATTGACAGTAACTGCATGATTGTCTTCTTCAAAGAAATAAGGGCCAATAACTCCAACTCTCAACAACACACACCATACTGTCACCTTATCACTGTGGAGTGGCCTCTCATGGAGCTCTCTGGGATTGTTACCACTTCAATAGCGCATATTCTGCTTGTTGACATATCCAGATATGTGAAAATGTGCCTCATCACTAAAGAAAACAAGTGCATCAGGGGGTTAAGTTTACAATAATGTTTCGCACACCGTTATTCAGTTCTGGAAATCATGTGGTGACAAATCTTGCACAACAACCATCTTATAGGAATGGAAATGAAGATGTTCGTGAAGAATTCGGTGCATTGAATGATTGGATATGTCTAGGGTGACTGCATGTTTGCGAGGGGAGTGTCTTCGGGATCTCAAAATCGACTGTCGAACTGCCTCCACATTTTCTGGCGTCGTAACGGTCCGTTGTCGTCCTGATGATTTTTTCACCACACTCCTGGTTGTCCTAAAGTTCTCTACCCACAAAAAAAATCGATTTCTGGTCGAGAACCAGATCTCTGGGCTTAATTGTGAAGTGAGTACAGAACGCACGCTGCACCGCCAAGTAGGAATGTTTGTTCAAAAAATAGGGTTCGACAGCAAACGCACGCTGCTCACTCATCCACCTCATGTTTCCTACTGAGGGGTATTAGACAGAAACTTCCACGACTGCTGCGTTCGTCAAGCCTATCCCCACTTTTCTGCGACCTCCAATTCCTTCACAATGCGTCTTCACAAAAAGGAAGTTTCTGTGCCCCATCCTGTATCTTTTGCAATGAGCAAATGATGATTTTTTAAATGGTATCCCTGGAGACATAACTTGGCTTCATGGGTATGTTGTAGAAACAAACTGATAGTCATCACTATGGGAGAACCTTGATTTTCTGCGCCATGAAAGTATGACATTTGTGCCTGAAAGCATATGCTCTCAATTTTTTTCATTTATTACAGCAGTGTTCATCATAAGTTCATTACAGTATGCTGGGCTAATAATGAAGACTATTATCTGAAAGTTCTGAGGCATCTTAGGGATGCAGCAGAAAGAAAATCATGAGAAATGTGAACAACATGAGCATGGAACTCCATCATGATAATACACAAGCTGACACAGGACTTTCGATCCACAAGTTCTTGGCAACATATACAATTTGTCTAAGTTCAAGACCTCCCTGTTTGCCTAACCAATCCCCTCTAGAATACTGTTTGGCTTATTTTGGACTTCACCCATCGTCCGGTATATAAAAAGACAAAAAACCACAACGTTTCAGAGACTGGATCTGTCTCCGTCTTCAGGTGTATAGGGAAGGTTTAACCTACTCAGTTGGGCCCCTTAGAAAGAGCTAGTCTCAATCACTGGACAAACCTTGATCTGTAGAAACAACCTATGAACAACCGACAACCGGTTCCGTCAGTGGGAGGAAAGAATAAAATCGCAGTAAAAACATGATAGAAAATTTGTGCCAAACATGCACTTGTCAACAATGTAAAGAAACAGAAGTATGGGTTATATTCCATGAATTCAGTTAAAAACGAAAGTAAAAACTGGATAAAGCATGCCTGATCTGCATGGTTAAAGAATCGTGCCACCATGGCGACTTCCGGGAATCAGACTAATCTCCGGAAAAAAACTTGCAGTAGTAGTGGAACCACTAATATTCATGAAATTACATTTTTGGTTTGTTAACCTCTTCATTGATGAGAGGGATCCATATAGGAGAAATATCCAAACTGGGTTGGCTGATCGGATTGGATGAACATGCCATATGAGCTGATTCTTTGTATTTCCTGTATCTGCTGTTGCTTTCAATCTCCAAGATCCTAGCTTCATCCCAGCTTACCCTGTGACCTTCTTCATATGCATGCTGAGCCAACCTGGATTTCTCTAGAAGACCCTGCTTAAGATTGTGCTTGTGTTCACGGATTCGAACAGCCAGTGGTCTTCCTGTTTCACCAATGTAGCTTCTGCCACATTGACAGGGAATGCTGTAGACGCACTGTGCCGTGTGTTGAGGATCCCTTTTTGGTTTCGTTCTCACGAGCGAAGATCGTAAAGTGTGTTTAGTTTTGAAGACGGTTCTAATATTGTACTGGTTCCCTATGCGCTTGAACTTCTCAGAGATTCCCTTGACATACGGGATGTACACCGTGCCAAGAGGCTTTTCCTCTTTTTTCTTTTGACGACTACCGCCCTTGGACCTGATAACCGAGTCAATAAAGCCCTGAGAGTAACCACTCAGTTGAAGGTCGCGTTTCAAACTTTTAACCTCCAACACCCGGTCTTGCCGGTCTTGGCATATAGTGGTAGCTCTATCATGAAGGCTATGAACAATTCCTCTTTTGACATGCGGAGGGTGATTGGAATTGAAATTAAGATATCTGCCAGTGTGGGTGGGTTTTCTGTGAACTTTCGTGGTCAGAGCCGTCCCTTTCTTCATGACCAAAACATCCAAGAAGGGGATCGTTCCCTCCGATTCTATTTCCATGGTGAACTGGATAGCCGGTCTCAGACTGTTGAGGTGTGTAAGGAAGTTCTGTATCCCCTCTGCACCATGCGGCCAGATCACAAATGTGTCGTCCACATATCGGAGCCACAACGACAGTTTGTCCTGCGCTGAGTCGATAGCCAGTTGTTCAAAATGTTCCATGTAGATGTTGCTAACAACGGGAGAAAGGGAGCTACCCATTGCCATGCCATCCTTCTGCTGGTAGAATCCGTCGTCCCCTTGAAAGTAGGTGGTCCCTCTAGAATGTTTTCTACTGCCCAAAATAAAAATGCAGCTGAATGGAGGATAATTTCAGAATGGACAGAACATCATTATGAATCAACAAACAACCTTTTAAGAGTGCTTCCAAAAGCAGAAAATGCTACGGGAGCAAGGCACTGTTGCTAAATGAAATAGTTTTTAAGAGTATAAGTGCAACTATGCTGTGAGTCTCAAAACAAAGTTATTACTGAAAAATTCCAGGAAGTTTCTGAACACACCTTGTATAATTCAACTCCACAAGGTGCATTCATTACAGCTAAATGTTTCACTTGGCCAAACAGGCAGATGGAGGTGAGGAAGACAATACACAATTCTGGATATTTGTGAAATGTGCCCAACAATGGACACACACATATAAGTCACCTTATGTTCATCTCTTATTCCTGGAAATGTTATAAGCAGAGGATCCAGCACCTCTCGAGTATCTGAGGCCTCTTCAACTTTTACAATGAATCTGATTTCCATGAGACAATGCCACTGTAGGAACAAAGTCCAACAATTGGATATCTGCAGCTCTGTAAAATTGTTGCAGTCATATCAATCATGATAGCGCTCTCTCA